AAGACAATCAGTTCAGCTGCGGGGGGGGGGCGGGGGGGGTGGGGGAGACAGGTATTGGTGTAGACCAGAGCTCAGAGTTAAAATTTGCAATATGTTTGGGAACATTTACAGTTGTTCATTGTGCCTGAACATTAACCTGAAAAATGTGGGTTTTTTTTGTCTTCAATCTCTCCTGAAAAATAGCAGTGCATGTTCTGTGCGCTGCGATTGTGCAGTATGATGACATCTATAGCACTGTGCTTTGACTCTTAAACTCAGCGGATTTGGAGTGCGATTTGGTGATGTCACTGCTGTGTTGCTCAATGTTCAGTTTGCTTGAGAGAAAGCTTCCGCTTAATCCATGCAGTGGCTTTGTGCATCCCCCTCCTAGATTGCTGCTTCTTGATCATTACCCCACCAGGCCACTGTTCATCTGGGGTGTAGTTATGACATGAGTAAGCACAGCCCTGCTTTCTACCAAGATAGCTGCCTTCACACAAAAGCATGGTGCAGAGGAATGCATAGTAAGTAGCAATGGGTAAAAGATCAGCTCCAGGCAGCTTACAAGCAATATTAATGACTAGTCCTCTTTCTCTACCACTAACATAAAACAACATACCTGTTTAGTGTCTAACGTACATGGCACAGAAGGGGGGGTGGTGGTTGTCATGTGTGTTTGCTGTAATAAATATTAATCTGAGTTCATTTTGTCAAAAACTCCTAGAATTACTTTGAGAAGTTGGATAAGCTGTCTGCCAGCCAAGACAGGCCAAGCGAGGGCCCCAAAAAAGAGAGGACAAAGCTGATAACGCCACAAGTGGCCAAACTGGAGCACACCTACAAACCAGGTGAGGATGCTTAACCCCAGCCTTAACCCTCACCCTTGCACTGCTGCTAATACACCCCAATGTTTGAAAGAGATGGAGCTTGAAGTCTGGCCTTGGCACTTGCTGACATGCATATACAGTATGAGAGGCCACATGGCACTTTTTGATGCCTAATCTCTACATTTAGGTTGTTCCTTTTTCTAGCCAAGGACTGTTATAGTAGAGGAAAGAATTGCTAGCATCTAAAAAGTCACACTTCATACATGTACTTGCTTTCCTTTTGTCAATAAAGGTATATCTCCAGGATAGAGAATTTCTGTTTGTGGCAAGTACAATGAGGTGCTGAAATTCATGCTTCTGATTCAGAAATCTTTAGCAGGAAATTCTGGGAACTCCGGACAGTTATGCACTTTGAATTCAGCTGGGTAACCAACAAGAATGTTTTTGTTAGCCCCAGAGGGTTAGAGACTTCCCCTGTACCGCATATCTGGACAGCTGTTGCTGTACTTCTCTAGCATGAGGAACTTTGCATTACAACCATCTTTCTTTGAAAGTTAGTAATATTGAAGCCAATAATCATTCTTTCACATCCTGGAATGGAACTAAATGGGTCAACATCATCCTCTGTCTAACCGTACCACTGATCCATACAGTTTATTGAGATTTTTAAGTTTTTCAAACACCGGTATAAATACTTTGGGGTCAATTCACACTTTACTAACCTGTCCCCGACGTTGGGACGTTCCATGCAGTCCTGGAAAACGTGCTTTAATGACGTCAGTGCACCGGAGTGAGATTATATTATATACATATATATAAGTGGCAAGCTTCATTTATGGTTTTGGCCTGAAAATTCTGCTTCGGAATGTGCATTGTGCCAATAATTTCAGTGGCATCCCAAACGCACCACCCGTACTACAATGCCATGCGTTCCAGTGCGGTGTGAGTGCAACAAATGTGCATGCAGTGTTATTCTGACAAACTCCATTGATGTATTTTATTTTAAATTAAGGATGGTATTTTTTTTTTATCTGATTGAAAAAAAATAATCGGCTAACTAATCGATTATGAAAATGAGCAACCCTAATAATATTTTAAATATTTTTGGGGGGACTTTAAATATTTTTGGGGAATAAGTTTCATTTTATTTAACTTTAACTAGCACATTGGAGATGACAGGTTCTCTTTTAAGATGGCATTCACAGTCTTTTGGACCCCTGGTGTCACCTTTCCAGTTCAAAGAAGCTATTAAAGCGCACATTATGCTTGAATTGCTTCAGTTCCCGCTGCCAGCAGCTGAATGTGTAAACAGGAGACAGTGGGGTGCAATAAATAGCCTGCTATTTAACATTGCAATAGCAGGCTGGTTATTACACCTGCCTGCTGTCAGTCAACAGAGTAGGGACCTGAAGAGGAAAGTTCTCTTTCAGGTCCTCCTCTGCTGGTAGCAGACAGTGGGCGGGTGCAATTGCCAGCCTGCTATTAGCTATTTCAAGTTGCAATAGCCAGTAGCAGGATTGGAGTCTTACCGCCGGCAGTTGAATTGAACAGGAGGTGGGGGGTGGCTAGTTGCAAAGTTACAGCGGGGTTGGCGCCCTAACAACCGGTCGCCCTTTCTTCCTGGGCACCAACTGCAGCGGTCTGTTCCCGATACAGGCAGTGAGAGCATTGGGTATCGGTGGGGACAGAGACCACAGCATGCAGCGCCCTCCCAGCAGGGAGGAGAAAGCTGCAGAGCCGATGCAGCGACAGGGGGAAGGTTTGGGAGAGCTCTCCTCACTCCTAGGCACCGGCTGCAGGAGTCTGTGTCCCCTCCAATGACCGCTGGGAGGAGTGGGGATTGGAGGGGACATTTAACTGATGAAACACCAGCTCCCAGCAGGGCGGAGAGAAATGGGCATTATTAAACCTGGAAGCAGTTGATAGCTGGACTACATAGGAGCGTCCGCAGTGGGCAGCACCAGAGAATAGGTGAGTATTGCATCCTAAGTTACATTTAGGATCCTTGCCACCCAGTAGGCTGTAACCCTGTTAACATTTGAAGAGAATACAGTATTTCCATACTAGCCACCAGTGGGTACCATCAGTCACCATTGGCTATGGTTGTTAGCTTGTGCCCATTATGAACTGGTCTTTCTGTCCCACAGTGCAGTTTGAAGGCTCTCTTGGGAAGTTGACCGTTTCCAGTGTGAACAACCCGCGGAAGATGATTGATGCCGTGGCTACACATCGTTCTGATGAAGAGGTAAGCAGACCAACCTGGCTAAGACAATGTGGCTTATGTATCTATAGCTTGGCTTCTGATATCTGGTCTGTTCACTTTACAGGAAACCCGGGAGAAACAAGTGAGAGACAAAAGACGGCAGACCTTAGTGGTAATTGAAAAGGTACTTTTTTTTAAATTATTAATTGATCCATGATATATCCACCCATATCCCCTAATTCCAATTGCCAATTCCCTTCAGTATTCTCTACAATTGTTACATTGTATCTTTTTGTTGATAAGATGTATTTATTTCTTGTGATCCTCAGCTCCATGTTGTAGTTCTGCAGTTGTCTGATTACGCACGGCGTGATGGTTTAGATGACTTGACTCTATATTGCAGGTCTTTTCTGTCTTGTTGGATTTGGAAGACTTTGAACGGCGGTTTTCCCTGTGCTGTGAAGATGAGGAGAGAGAGGCTCTGACAGAAGAACGCAGGCACAAACTGCAGCAGCTCTGTGACATCTTGCGGGGCAAGGAAGGAAGTGAGCGGTGAGATCAGCCAGAAAATTATTAGTCCACACACACACACCACACACACACACCACACACACACACCACACACACACACCACACACACATATAGGGTGTACACCCAGCAAATCAGAAATTTCACCTCTCACCATAACCGGACTATAGCC